TAGTATTAAGGTAGCAGAAGGACATTGGGCCTTCACTCAAGTACTCCCTCAACACAAGAATACTTTCTTCTAGTAAATTGGCATTCTATGATACTCACCTTCCCGACACAACCGCTGAAGACAAAGCGGGTGAATAAGCAAATGTGGTGAAGAAAGCTGATGGTGCCGGCTATCAAAAGATATAGCGTCTGGGGTCTTAAAAGCTTGAAGGTAAACAAGCGGCTATCTAGCTCAGAAGCAACAAAGCCCACATGGAACAGCATATCAACCTGTGTGATCACGGGGTGTCGAACGGATCACTGAAGACAAATGGGTGCATAAGCAAATGTGGTGAAGAAAGCTGATGGTGCCCGGCTATCAAAAAGTATAGCGTCTGGGGTCTTAAAGGCTTGAAGGTAATCAAGCGGCCATCAAGCTCAGAAGCAACAAAGCCCACATGGAAGAAGCACACCAGCCTATGCAACCACGAGGTGTCGAAGGGATCAGGTGTAAGGCATCATCAGAACAAAAAATCTTACCATAGTGAATGATGGGGGGAGTGTGGAGTGGAGATCCAAAGCCCATTAGTAGGCCACTGGAGATCCCCTTGCAGAGGGGTCTCGGGGAGGAGATGAGCCAGTCAGGGTGTGATGTAACAATGATGAGAAATACAACCTTCCTCTAGTTCCTAAAGGTTTCCTCCCCGCTCCCACTACCATGACTCGAATTCTATCTTGCAAGACTGGCTAGACCAGAGGAGGTACACTGGTACAGATAGGAACTGAAAATACAGGGAATCCAGGACGGATGAGCCCTATAGGACCAGTGGTGTGAGTGGCAAAACAGGGAGGGTGGAGGGAGAGTGGGTAGGAAAGAGGGAACCAATTGCATGGAACTGTGTGTGGCCTCCTCCCTGGGGGACGGACAACCGAAAAGTGGATGAAGGGAGAAGTCGGACAGGGCAAGATATGACAAAATACCCATTTGTAAACTATCAAGGGCTCATGGGGGAGGGGGGAGCGGGGAGGGAGGGGAAAAATGAGGACCTAATGTCGGGGGTTTAAATGGAGAGAAAATGTTTTGAGAAACGATGTACAAATGCGCTTTACACAATTGATGTGTGTATGGATTGGGATAACAGTTGTATGAGCCCCTAATAAAATGTTTAAAAAAAAAGAACTGACGGATTTGAATGATGGTGCTGGTAAGGATTTGAAATTACCATGGACTGCCAGAACAAACAAATCCGTCTTGGAGGTAGTACAGCCAAGACGCTCTTACAAGTGCACCTGCTTGGACATGTTATCAGGAGAGACCAGTTCTGCTTTACCAAGCCGAGGGACGGTGAAAAAGAGGACACGTGTCAAGGAGATGGACTGACACTGGCTGTAACAATGGGCTCAAACAGCACAATCGTGAAGATGATGGCCCAAGACCGGGCATCTGGTTTCGCTCTGAGTCAGAACTGACTTGAGGACGCCTGACAACCAACAATAACACTGTTTGAGAGAGTCCACCCTTTAAAGATTAGACATCTGAGTCCCCCAGCAGGCATAGCTGTATCTCTGGGCCCTGTGTCTGTTCAACGTTTCTCTGTGTCCGGAGCCCTGGGACACTCTGGGTTGGGTAGTGAGTGGGCTGCCACCTGCAAGGTCATGCTTCACACCCAGAGGCCTCTCCGTGGAAGAAAGACACTGCTGTTTCCATGGTGATTTGCAGTCTTGGAAACCCTATTAGGGTTGTTAGGTAGTTAGATTTAGGAGCAGGGGGTTGTCCTTCCCATGCCTGCAAAGGCCCCCATAGAGGAAGTTGGACAGATATCAGGCAACCGTTAGACACTATGAAGACCCCAAACTGAGCATGCTCCTACTCAAGCCACTGGCCAGGTGGGAGGTACACCTGGGTAGGCCACACAAGGTCCAGGCTCAAGACACAGGTGGGCTTAACCCAGCCAATGGGGTCAACCACGCCTTCCCCCAGCTAGGGGGTGGGCTAGAATAAAGGCAGGGAGCACGCTCTGGGACTCTGACTCTTTGACCCTGCTCCTGGTCACTGGCAGGTGGGAGGGTGGGGACGCCACACACGCTGCCTGTGCATGCCCCCTCAGGGCCTGCTCAGGGCCCATATGTGCCTGATCTGAGTCTACTCAGGGCCCATGGCCTCTGGGCCCACATGCTCTTAGCCTCTAGGGTTCTTGGGCTTCTGGTCTCCCGGGATTCCCCCAAGTTCCGCATGTATGGGTGCTCTTTTCTACGTGGTTGCTCATGCCTAGTTGTGAACCCCAGCGTGGCTTCCGTGCAGCTTGGCATGCTTTTCCGAAATAGCTTGAACCCCTTTGAGGCTGTAAAACCAGAAACGTGTCCCATCCTTCATGTGAACCCACTTGGATTACACAATGGGCTTCAGAGTGAATTCTTTCATCATGCGAAGCCAAGAACCGAGGTCTGACCCACTCGAGGAACACCGGGACTTGAGGTCACTCGGTGGCGGTGGGTTGGATCTTGGCTTTGGTGGTGTCTATTAGCACAGAGTGTGAACTGCGATGGCCGTATCAGAGCCCAAATCTCCAGGAGGGCAGCTCTTCCTCAGCCCTGCTCTCTTACATGTGAGATTCGAGATCAATCTTATTTATTTAAAGTCCTGTAGGAGTTTATTTTCTGTTATATTTTGCAATTACATCACAGGCATCTCAAAAAACGAATTAGTGACGAGAGTCACTGCTTCTCCCACAATCACTCTTTCCTAAACAGCAGTTAGTCAGGGGGACAGTGGGCCGTAGGAGTGAGGAGGGGTAGGGACCACCGCCTCCAGAGGGCTTCCTTTCCTGCTTCTCCTCCTTTTGCCGCTGCCCACCATTCCCAAATCGTGGTGTCCTTGCCAGCAAGCATCTCCCGGTCTTTCCTTTCTTTGGACACCTCTGTCTCCATCCCCTTTGCCGTCACGTCACTGCTCTGACTCAGACTCTTGTCCCTCCCCCTGGATGGGGCAATAACTTCTCATTTATATCCCCGCTTCTCAAGGTTCTTCTTCTGATGACTGATCCCTGGTCCTGAAGTGCCCCTTCCATCCAGCCGCTCCCAACCACACAGCCTTCATGGGCTCCCAATGTCCGCTGGATAAAGTACAGGGCCTCTGTCAGCCTCTCATCAGGCCCCGCCTCACCTGCCCAGCCCACTCAATTGTCTTCTGCTTCCCCACCCCCCAGCCCTGTAACCTTGAACCTGGCCAGATCCAGCTCCTGCACTGTCTGCTCAAACCACCTCCATCCTCAGGCTACAAGGGCCCACCTTCCATCCCTCTCCCCTTCTGTCCCTACCCCGCCCTGGCAGCTCTACCTGCAACAAGGGACCTCAGGGGCTCCCAGACTCATAGCGGCCCTTCACCTTGGAACAGCCTTGGCACTCCTATTTGCACATTTTGCAGCAAAGTAGGGTGTTTAGTGTTCACTCTGCAAGACAGGGCTTCTCAACCGTGTTGAGACTTGGACACTTTGGCCCGGATAATCCATTGTTGTGGGGAGCGGCCTTATGCATTGTTTGGGGTTCAAATGCTAGCATACCTTCCAGTTAGAAAAAGCAATGTGTCTCCAGAAACTGCCCCTTGTCCCCTGGGAGACAATATTGCTCCATTGGCAGACCACCGGGGTATGGGGAGATGTGTACCAATAGTTGCTGTCCCTGACCCGGCGCTTCCCGAGGCTGGATGGAGCAGCTGACTGCTCTGCCTCATCCACAGAGGCACCAAGGCTTCTCCGGACACTCGCTGGCAGTTAGCTATCACTCTGAGGTGAAGCTGCACAGAGCCCCAAGCCCCAAGCGCAGGGCCCACGTCTGCCTCCCCATACAGGCTGGCCAGGTGCTACTGCTTGGAAAGTGCCTCCTCCAGGAAGTGGCGACCCCAGGAAGGGGGCTGGGAGGAGCACGAGGCCTCCACAGAGGCGGACTCCTGCCCACGGCATCTCCGTGGTGGTGAGCCACGTTGTTGGGAAATGAAAGATGTGACCACCTTCGCTGCAGAGAAGCCAGGGCCATTTGATTGCCAGTGTTTCAGGGGTCCAGGAAAGAAATGCAGTCCCATCTTTACCTCCCTCTGGAGAAGCCAAGTTTAACCCAAAGCAATGCAGTGATAAGATCTAGTTGGCCAACCCTGAGAGCATCTCTTAGCTTCCTATAAGTGTTGAGAAGGAGCTGCTAGCTATAAGGCAGACAACTCAACCCCACCGACGACGACGGAGAAAGATGAGATTGTCTGCTCTAGTAAAGATGTCCAGCCTCAGAAACCCAGTACAGGGTCGCTATGCGCCAGAGTGACTCAATGGCCGTGTGTGTGTGTGTGTGTGTGTGTGTGTGTGTGTGTGAACATTTAAGAGCACTATTCATAAAACAGGACCCCTGGTGCCCGAGTGATTATGCATTGGTCAGCAGTTCAAAACCACATGCTGCTGCTCTTCAGGAGAAAGACGAGGCTGTCTCCAGCTATAGAGTGAGCCTCAGAAGCCCACAGGGGCAGTTCTACCTGGCCCTATAGGGTTGCCATGAGTCAGAACGGACTGAACGGCAGTGAGTTCATTCATAAAACGCCACACCTTAGATTGCCCCTGGCCTTTCTCAGAGGAGGCTGTTGTGGAATGGCCCTTCCCCGCGGGTGCCTGTGCAGCCCGGAGTATTTGAGTACCAGCTTGAGAATGGTTTAAGCCCTAGATGGCCCTAGGGTCTGAAAAAAAAACAAAACAAAACAAAAACTATCTAGGCTGTAGTCTCCCCAGTTCGGATAAGTTTCAAGTGGAGGTTTGGGGAGGCCCAACAGTGGGTTCATCTGCTGGGCGGGGTTGTACTGGACTTGCTGTTTCCCAAGGCCTTAACTTTAGTCACCAAAGGGCACTGGGTCAGCTTACTCCTCAAACTTTCTACATTGGCCATCCTTCAGGACCGCCTGCCGCCAGCTCCCCTGCAGCTGTCCTGACTTCTCTCTCTGGGATTCACATCTCCTCCTTCTGGTCCCCCAGGTGAGCCCCGACTCACCTCTCAGGAGCTGGGCTGCGGTGGGTGGGTGGGAGAAGCAGGCGGAGGGGATGCTGTAATTGGTTTTCAGTATCTCCAGGAGATCGGCGGTGTACCTGGAGAGACACCAGCTTGCCTTCAGAATTGTGCAGCCTGGGGGTGGGCTGGGGAAAGCCAGGCAAAGGGGACCAGTTCCGGGCATTCCTGGGTCCGGGGAGGTGGGTCAGGGCAACTGCTGTAGACAGGTGGGGAGTGGAGAACCGGAGCAGCCAGTGGTAAGGCCAGGGCAAGTCTGGTTGTGGTGCCAGAAGTGCCAGCGGTTAGTGGTCTCCACTCCCGCTAGGAAGGAGCTCAAGGGTTGGCTGAGGAGAGAGCAGCGCCCTAGAGCCAAGCTTCCCTGGCCGTGGAGCCTAAGTCCCAGGGAAAGACCCCAAATGGTCTGGTTCGACCTGGGAGCCGGGACAGTTTCCCTCTCCCTGCCCTCCATCACCACCTCCACCTGTGGGGCTTTCCAGCGGAGGCCCTGAGGTGTCGTGCTGGTCCAGCCCACAGTGTCCCCGAGGACCTAGGGGTGCAGACCATTCAGTCCTGTCTGTGTCTGGGTGCTGAGGGCCGGCGGGAAGGACGGTGGGGGCAGCAGAGGGCCCTCCATAGCTTAGCAACTGGCTCTTGGCCCGGGGTCCCTGTGCCCGCACTCACCTGGGGTCTAGCTTTATGTGGTTCCTGTCGGGCTCCATGTTCTCCCGGCTCTGCCAGTGGCTCGGCCAGGTGAGCGGCGGAGGCTGGCGCTGCCGAAGGTGCAGTGGCCGGCTGTCCCTCTGGCTCCTGCCGCCGGAGCGCCAGCACTGGCAAGCTTCTGTCACAGAGTTCGCACGCGAGAGGAATTTGATCCTCTCCGCAGGCCGAGTCCCTGGATCCTGACTCCTCCCCGGCCTTAGCCCAGCTCCTCTGACACCGCCCTTGCCCCGCCCACTCCCATCTG